GTTTAGGGTTTAGGGTTACGGTTGAGTGTCCATTAATCTAACTTCGTCGGATTCCTTCAACGGTTCTTTAAGTTACGCTGGGGTTCTGCCTTGGTTATCAGAAAGTTGCTGTAAGAACGACAACGGTCTAGACAGCTTGCGTGCTCAAAGTCCTGGGACAGGTTGGTTATTCTACATTGTTGATCGTGGTTTGGGGCTTAGGCTACATCGCTGTAGCACCGTCTAGTTGTTTTCTGCCCCATTCCACGGTTTTTTTACTGTGGCAATTCGGGATTCTGGTCCGCTCACAACCGCCAGCAACCCTAAACCCTAAACCTGCAGTGTCATCGCACGCACGAGGCGTGGTACGACACCAGAGTAATGATACATACACACACCCGTACGGCTAAGCACCTGGAGCCACATTTAGATTTTTAGGGGTTTAGGCATTTCTGTCTGGCGGGGCTTACATTCAGGGTTTAGCCGGAATCACGAACCCTCAACACCAAGCCAACACATCCTCAATCCTAAACCCCAATCCGAATACGTAAGTCCCTATTAAGATGCTAGGACTCTGCAGAATTCTATGGTAATAGAATTATATGTCCCAAAGAGCTATCTGATTGTCCAGGCCACTAGAGTAGGAATTCCGCCTGGAGGTGACAGCAGAGGCGGAAGGGACGCGCCGAAAGCGCCAAGGGCTCAGTTTTGAGAGTCTTGGAACACAGGATGTTCGTTTCAAGCGCAGGTTCAGATTTTAGTGATTTGGGGCTGAAGGCTTTCATCGGTGTTTTGAGGTTTGGGGTTTTCGAGAGTTTGGAGTTTGAGGTTTTGCGTGGAATAGTTTACCTTGCGCTTCTGCCGTGTTCCGGATGTTGGGCTCTGTGAGGTCGGAGATGATTTTCTTTCCAATATAGGGGCCTCAATAATGATAATTACCCATATGATTTCGGGGGTCCTTACTATAAGTAGACTTACCTATAGAGGACCCCCCCCAACCCTGTTCTAATTATCAAGGCCCCTATATTGGCC